GTTGAGATTATTCTTTTGACTGTGGACTTGATCAACTTTTACAGTGCCTATTTCACTTTCTCAATTCGCCTTTTTCACTTATCAAAACGAAGACAAAAAACATCGTGGGGTTGGACAAGCGAAGAGAATTTCTCTTCGCTTGTCTAATATGAACTTTTAAATATCTGGTTTGGTGTGGTTTTAAGTGTTTCTGGTCTGAATTAGTGGCTGGTGTCTTAACATTTGTAGTCTGATTGGGTATGGACTGTATGGCTTAATCTTTATGTCGAATTATCTTGTCTGAAATATAATCACTTGATGTATCGTTCTTTCTAGTCTGATTCGAATCTTTGTGGTGTAGCCCCAATATTTTTGGCCTTGTCCGATTGAAATAAGATTGAATAATATTTTTGGTCTGATGTGGATCTTTTTTGGTGTAGTCTTAGCCTGAGTACAAAACTATAAACATCTCTTTACTAGAGTACTCAATATTTACTTGCCTCTCGTCGGGGGATTTCTTCGAATGTTAGCTTTTTTACTTTTTGGTGCTTATAAATGATTTAGTCTTTCAAATTTCATTGCACTTGATGTAGTCCTCAACTATGAATTTCAGACCCAATGTACTCCTTATACGTATTTGGTTGTACCCTTGTAGTTGTACATGTGTCTAGTTTAGTATTTTAGTTCACTAAATATTAACTCAATTAGGACTCAATAAATTCAGACTCAATGTAATCCTTGAACATATTTGGTTCTGAATGTGAATTGTATATTTGTATGTAGACTAAAGATGTTTTTAATTGGACTAATTTCAGTCCTAGATTATACTTAATGAGACCAGATCATACCAGACTTTGACAATTGAAAAATACACATTGAACAACAGCTATCACATCTATCATACCAGGCCAGACTTAAACACACCAGATCAAACCAAATTAGATCAGAAAATTTCAACCAATTAAAAGCATCCTAAATCTTGACCTGATGTCGGACTTAGTTTGGTCTTCCTCAACTATGTAATTTGGACCCAATCTAGTCCGAAAGATATGAAAATGCCCTTCTTAATTATAGATAATAAATGTATGAGGACTAAATTGAGCCCAAGTTGCATAGTCGAGGACCAAGTTGTGTCCAAAAGACGGTTCAAGTTCAAACCAAGTAATATGTAGTATATATAAGTGATCGTCTAGGGACTAAATTAGTTATTGTAGAACTAAGATAAATTTTCGATGACGAACTGAGGAAAGAAAAATGAACCAAATGATTGAACTATTATTGGTAAATTCAAGTGTTTTTTTTTTGTTTATTCAAGATTAATCTTTTAATCAATTATCTGCAGGTTCAAAGCTGTTGAACCATGTGCTTGATCTTTGTGCTAGACAAAATATGAGTGAGATTTACTTGCACGTCCAGACAAATAACGATGATGCCATCAAATTTTACCAAAAATTTGGGTTTGGGATTACAGAGACCATCCAAAATTATTACACAAACATTACACCCCCAGATTGCTACGTTGTGACCAAATTCATCGCCCAAACCCAGGCAAATAAATAGCTTCAGATTTTCTAGTCATAGAGTTTCCAAAACTCGTTCTTGGCTGTTGGCTATTCTTTTCATGGGAATGCAGTTGTTTTTCGTTCTTGACTCTCCTGTAAGAAAACTGTATTATGAGGAGTTAGTATTGTAGAAGAAACACAATTTTGATCCATTCGGCCTGAATGATTCAGGTATGAAGAATATGTACTCGCATGTTTTATGCATACTCACGGTTGAATATATTAATTGACAGAAATATTGTATTTTTATCTTTAGGAAAAATTGTCAAATAAATCAATCAAGCCTATCAGCTTAAAAATGCTCAAATCAAACTTTTGCCTGTTAAAGAATTGGAAAAATTGACAAAAATAATCCCACCTTTTGCCGGTCTTCTCATAATAATCCCACCTTTAGGTAATCCCAGAATAATCTCACCTTTGCACCTCACCTTCTTTCATTGGACCCTGACCATGTTTTTTACTCTTTTTTTGAAAATCATATAAATAATCTCACCTTTCACTTATCTATTATATCTTTATAAATGTGAGATTATTTATATAAGATTTTCAAAGAAAGGTAAAAAACTTGGTCAGGGTCCAATGAAAGAAGATGGGGTGCAAAGGTGGGATTATTTTGGAATTATATAAAGGTAGGATTATTATAAGAAGACCAGTGAAAGGTGGGATTATTCTTGTCAATTTTTCCTAAACAATTTGATTATCAAGTCAATTTGCACATATGGCGATCCGGGTTCCCGCTGGCTAATTTTTTATTTTTATCTTTCTATCTTTTTCCTTCTCCTTTCATTCTCCACATTTGTTAGCTCCGATCATTTCTCCCGTGGCTTTATGTTTCATCCAACTCCTCCTTCTCTTATATACCACGTGTATTCCATACTTTAGAAAAAGTAAGAGAGAAGATGTAAATGTATGAAAGACAAGATAAAGGGTAGAAACGGTAAATATATTTGAGTATTTATAAAAAGAAAAGTTTATCAAAAGAGAAAAATGTAACAAAATTTTAAATACGGAGAGTGTGTGTGTGTGTGTGGAGAGAGAGAAATCAGACTTCCAGAGACTTAAAATGCGTAACAAATCAATCACACCCGTTAGATTGGATAAATCGCGAGTGATAAACTTTAAACCTTTTATTTTTTTTCCTCCGCTCACATCCGTTGTATCTTTGCAAACTGTTTTGTTTAACACACACACATGAACAAGCATGCGCGCGCACATACACATGTAGGGAGGCCCCACTCTTTTTTAAACTCGATAGGCAAATTATCTTTGCCGGTGGGGCAAAAGTTGAGGAAGCTTTGCCAGAATTTATTAAAATAAATAGAAAGTACAAGAAGGGGACTAGATCAAAACCTCTTCAGAAAGGGCATTTCCCTTTAGAATACAAGAAAATAAATTAAAGAGACAAAAATAAAAAGAATATTGGGGAGACCGAACCCAACCCAATTTTAAATATATCTGAAATAAAGAAATTCTAAAGAATCCCGCAATAAGGATATCCGGAGCCCCCCTCCCCCTGCCAAAAAGAGTACCCTCTACACTCTATCTCACTCACCGCCACCTCCTTCCTAACTCTGGGAAGGTGTGGCGGGGTTGGTTGGTGGTAAGAGGGTGGGTGGGAGTGGTAGTAAGTAAGAAGGAGGAGGTATTTTTTTTGAAAATTATAATTGACATTTTAATTTTAAATAATGTTTGAATAAATATACCATTTTTTGAAGTAAACATGTACTACGTATATATTAAATAACTTTTAGTAAATCACGAATTAAATGTACTATCGGTGCGTGATATATTTTGTTACTTGAGCTCCATAATTCTGGATGGTGAATTATATGAAGATGTATCCCATAGAATCAGAGTTGGATGAATGAAACGGAAGAGTGCATCAGGATTTCTATGCGATCAAGGCATGCCGACTAGATGAAAGGGTAAATTTTATCGAACAACAATTAGGCATGCATTAATGTATGGTGTTGAGTGTTGGACGGTGAAACAAGGTCATATTCAAAAGATGAGTGTGACAGAGATGCGTATATTGCGATGGATCTGTGGACATATAAGAAAAGACCGCTTGAGAAATGAGATCATCAGACAAAAGGTGGGAGTGACACCTATAGAAGATAAGAAGTTGAAGTCTTGTTTGCGGTGGTTTGATCATGTGCGTAGAAGACTGAGTGATGCACTTGTTAGACGACTTGAGAGGAGGAGAGAAGAGGTAGGGAGGAGAGGGATATGAAGACCGAAACAGACTTGAATTAGAGGAATTAGAACTGATATGCGTCTTCTTGGGTTGAATGAGAGTATGATTTTGGAGAAAGCAAAGTGGAGGGCACACGTTCGTGTGGACGAGTGATGTCTTTTCTATCTGCCCTCTCTTTTTTCTTTTGTCGTTTATCTCCATTATCTTTTTATGTTCTTATGTATTTTTATCTTCCATCTTTTTATGCCTTTTTATCTTTTATCTTTCTTATATTCTTATGTTATTATTATTATCTTATATTTATCTTTATCTTATCCATTTTATCTTACTTTTCCCCCTTATATTCTTTTTTTAGGACTAATATCATGAATCGATTAAATGTTATCCGACTCCAAAATCTTTTGGAATTAAGGGTTGGATGTCGTTGTTGTAGTAAATTACAAATTAAATAGGGAAAATGGAAATTAATAATCCAACCTTTTAGCGGTCTTCTTACAATAGTCTCACCTTTTGATTATTCATGAATAATCCAACCTTTGCACCTCATCTTCATTCACTGGTCCCTGACCGGTTGATGACCTGTTATTCCAAGTTATTTTCTTATCTTTGCAAAATATTATCTCTGTGAAAGGTGAGATTTATGGTATAATGGTTTACAAAGATAAGAAAATAACTTGGAATAGCAGGTCATCAACCGGCCAGGGACCAGTGAATGAAGATGAGGTGCAAAAGTTGGATTATTCATGAATAATCAAAAGGTGGGACTATTATAAGAATACCACTAAAAGGTTGGATTATTAGTTTCCATTTTTCCAATTAAATAAAAAAGGATTACAAGTTGAGCTACGGACTTAATTAAATGTTAACAGATAATGAGTGAGGCTCTGACTCAAATATTTACAGAAGCTCCATGCATTTTTATATAGTAAACTCTCATCGCAATTATCGATATTCGAACTCCGGAAATTATTCTTTATAGCACTCATATCTACAAGTTGAGCTAAGCCAATTTGGTGGAGTAAAAATATTGTGAGAGAGATGGAGGTGAGAGGGAGGAAGATGGTCAACAAACGGTAACTTTTTAACCTTTACAATACCCAGTAGTCTGTTTGACAAAGGTGTATATTTTTTGACTCCGTATTTGAATAGAAGACTTTTCCGTAAAAAAGAGGAACCATGTTATGTTTTCCGGCCATTTTGGTGTTCTGGTGATGGGGATTTGACAGAGCTAACCAGTAAAAGGGTCCCACATTTGAGCGTACACCGAAGACAGAATAATAGAATCACGAGTTCACACTTCCATCCCATGCACCCATTTTATACATTTCTGGCAGACCAGACCGGACCACAACTCTCATTTCCTTTAGGTTTCTCTCTGCCCGCTTCCTCGTGGGCTTCTGCATTCCACCCAGGTTGCTCTCTTTTCTCATCTCGCTCTTTCCTAACTTCTCTGTTATACTTTTTTTCCTGGGTATGTTTATTTCCTTGTGGTTATGGTTTCTGCATCGGATCTTCACCCGGATGCCAATGCTGATGTTTCACATTAAATCCTTGAGAAAATCTATCTACCGATTTATTTATGTTGTTTTTCTTCTTAAATACAAGCTCCTGTAAAAAATCTGGAACATATTTACTCTTTCCATTGGTACGGTCATGAGATTCATGGCTGAAGAAAACTTTTTTAGTTTGGTGAGGAGTTAATTGCTCTTAAATACCCATCACTTTTATTTATTATACCTTAAAAAAGAGAATCATGTTTGATTTCTATCGTTAGATCCGTTCTTTAATCTGGAATTTCTTTAATTGCAACTTTGCCCAGATCTTGGATTGAGTGGATTCTCCCCCCTTTTTGGGAACTCTTTTGAATTTTGACTAAAACAGTGGATTGATAAACACAGCAGTGTTTTTTATATTTGTGTGTTCGCTTGCAGGAAATTGAAATTGAATCCAAGAATGAATGCAGCAGCTCCATCGTCGTCATCATCAAGAAAGCTGCCTGATTTCAAACAATCTGTGAAATTGAAGTATGTGAAGCTAGGTTACCACTACCTCATAACCCATGGGATGTACCTATGTTTATCTCCCCTTGTAGTGGTTATTGCAGCCCAGCTATCCACATTCTCCCTGAGAGATCTCTGTGTTCTATGGGATCATCTAAGATTCAATCTCATTTCCGTCATAATTTGCTCAACCCTTTTAGTCTTCTTATCCACCCTTTATTTCCTCACCCGTCCCCGCCCAGTCTACCTAGTGAATTTCTCATGTTATAAACCCGAAGAGGCCAGGAAGTGCACCAGACAGATTTTCATGGAGAGGTCCCGCTTGACGGGATCGTTCTCTGATGATAACCTTGAGTTCCAGAGGAAGATTCTAGAACGATCTGGTCTCGGCGAATCGACTTACCTTCCCGAAGCTGTCTTGAGGGTGCCACCTAACCCTTGCATGGCAGAAGCCAGAAAAGAAGCCGAGACCGTCATGTTTGGCGCCATCGATGAGCTTCTTGCAAAAACCTGTGTTAACCCCAAAGATATTGGGATCTTAGTCGTGAATTGCAGTTTGTTCAATCCGACCCCTTCCTTGTCTGCTATGATTGTGAACCACTACAAGCTTCGCGGGAATATCGTTAGCTATAACCTTGGGGGCATGGGCTGTAGTGCCGGTTTGATCTCCATTGATCTCGCCAAGGATCTCCTTCAGGTCCACCCAAACACCTATGCTTTGGTACTCAGCATGGAAAACATCACATTGAATTGGTATTTTGGGAACAAGAAGTCAATGCTTCTCCCGAACTGTTTGTTCCGGATGGGTGGGTCCGCAATTCTGCTCTCAAACAAGAGCCGTGACCGGAGGCGGTCCAAATACCAGTTGGTACATACGGTCCGGACCCACAAAGGCTCGGATGACAAATGCTTCGCTTGCATCACACAACATGAGGACGAGGACGGTAAAGTGGGGGTTTCTCTCTCGAAAGAACTTATGGCAGTGGCAGGGGATGCCCTGAAGACGAATATTACCACCCTGGGTCCCCTGGTCCTACCCATGTCTGAGCAGCTGCTCTTCTTTGCAACTTTGGTCGCTCGGAAGATGCTGAAGATGAAGAAGATTAAGCCTTACATCCCCGACTTCAAGCTGGCGTTCGAGCACTTTTGCATACACGCGGGTGGGAGGGCGGTTTTGGATGAATTGGAGAAAAATCTGCAGCTTTCTGATTGGCATATGGAGCCTTCGAGGATGACATTATACAGGTTTGGGAACACGTCGAGCAGCTCCCTATGGTATGAGCTGGCGTACTCAGAATCCAAGGGGAGAATTCGGAAGGGGGATAGGACTTGGCAGATTGCGTTCGGGTCAGGGTTCAAGTGTAACAGTGCTGTTTGGAAGGCTTTGCGGACTATAAAACCAGCTCATGAGAAGAATCCGTGGATGGATGAGATTGGCCAATTCCCCGTTGAAGTTCCTAGAGTTTCCAAATTGGAATAGTTTCGAGGAGAAGTTAGTTCTCTATCCGTCTATCTATCTGTCCATCTATCTATCTATATATAAATATATTCTTTGTTTCTTTGACATGGTTGTGACTCTGCATCCTTGAATAACCGGAGGGGCATTAACTCTCGGTTGGTAAGTAAGGTGGAATATATCCAGTTCTTATTTTTCTATCTTATGTTCTCCATTTTGAATATGGTAGTGGTAGTAGTAGCATCATTGTGAAAAGCTTATTATGACTTTTAGTATCATATTTGTTTCATTGGTTTGGATGGATATCGGTTCAAGCACAGGAAGCAGAACTGAGAGTTAGCCTTGTTCATGAATGTAGTATGTTATTGATGCATATTATATGTGTGGTCTTGGACGGGGCCAATGGTTGAATGATATTTCACTTCACATTCGTTCATTTGGCAATGCTAATCAATATTGCTCTGAAATTACTGAAGATGAGTGAATATGGGATGGCGTTTTTTTTGTGATGCGAATATCTACTGCTCCCTTTATGGCCTAATGGTCTCTCCGGATGCTTTTGAAGCCCTTCTCTGAATATTAGCCATTTCTGCACTGCCAAAATAAAATCTTCTTCATCACTAGAATCTAGTCGTGACCATAAAAAGTTTTTGCTATTTTTCATCGAAAATGGTCAAAGTGGAATTGAATTTACTCTGACAACTGAATCACCTTCTCATCTTCTTGTTGGACATTCACTTTACGTGGAAAAGCAAATGAATTACTCCGTACAAGTTAAAGTTGACCTCATTTCATCCGAAGTGTTATCACGCTTTTATTACTCCGTATTATTAATCACTAGAAAAGAATGTGCTTTTGTAGTGTTTCTAAAATGCTGTATTAACAAGTCAATGAATTACAAAAAGTTCAAAGAAACACTTATGTGGGTGTTAATTTAGGTCTTAAAACCACATGAAACATGACAAGTGGTATACCTATTTATGTCTTTTTGTAAGCAATTTTAAGGATTTATTCAAGAAAAGAATGAAAAATTGCAAAAATATCAGCTCTTGTAGCAGAAGACCGCAATCAATGAAAAAGAAAACAGATGCCAGAGGTCAAGCTCTCGTCAAACATCAACTTCTCTATTGAAAATATGCTTGAAAACAATTGGCGTCTAGTTCTTTGACTTTTGCAGAACACGAAGACGTGATAGGTAGACTTTCTATGAGAAATGAAGTATTCTAAGAGCATCACCAATGGCACTGTTAACATTAAAAAAACATGGCCGATTCATCCATGTTAACGTTGAATTTGATATTTGCGTCTCCAATGCATCTCATATAGTGCTGATGTGTCAAAAATCAATATTAACAGTGTTACCACGACTGTTTTGGAATAACAGTGTGTTTAACATGCTGACTCGGCATATTTTGACGTAGAAGTATGCAAGGAAAAATATGGTAAATTCTCTTGCCCATAAAAAAATCTATCCGCCAAACCAAATCACCCACGTACGGCATCAACGTGCATCAAGTAGTGGGATTCTTTCACAAATCACCCACGTAACTCACAAATCTATAATTTATGTGTAGTAGAAGGAAGGTCGTGAGTTTTTATCTAAAAAAAAATTAGTAATTCATACAGGTTTTAACAAATCTAAAAGCTCATCGCCAAGAACTTGGAAGCAGAAGTAAGAAGCCGTCAGAAGGGTTTTCACTTGCAGGAGGATTTCTTGATCTGTTTTTTATTTATTTTCAAAACAAAATGCTTATTACACGTAAGCATTATTATGGGCTGTGAACATTATGCATTGGACCATATTTTAGGATTTCACGGTTTGTTTGCATCACAGTTATATGACATGGAAGACTATTCCAATTATTGATTGTCATTTGTCAAAAATTATTTCATGTTAACAATGTAGCATTAAAGATGCTCTAATAGGATGGCTCGGAAAAGTTAGACTGATAGGTAGAGAGCAGCGACGGATGCAAACCTTAGCCATCTCTCCTCACTTATCTTCTCTCGATCATGGAAAAAGACCCCATGAGAATATGAGATGGTGCTTCCAACTGATATGGTATATCTCATTCATATTGATGTCTAGAGTGACTATTATTTGTCGGCGAAGCCGGTTGAATGGTTACTTTTTACTTTTTCTTTATGGCACGCTGCACGATAATCCATGTTAGATAGAATAAAGGCACCCATAGGAGGACCTCACCACATGAGACCCCACAATACAATAAAAAGTGACATGCACGGGTAGTTCAGTTGATTGAATGGTGAGAAAATTGAGAAAGTAATCAAGGTTTGAAATCCGTAGTGATCGTGTGGAGATTACAGCTCCTGATGTTGGGCTGGAATTCTGGTACGCACGGGTATAAAGTCTATCACCATTGGACTGACTGAGTTATCGTAATTTACATCCTCACATATGCTTTGTCGGGTCGAGGCGTGGGAAGCCTTGGAGTTGGTTCAAAATGGGAGAAACAATATAAAACAAAATGTATTTACATACTCTTGTCTCTTGGAAATCCAATAATTAGGTGTTACCTTGTATGCATTCATGTATCGACTTTTGATCACTAGATCATAATGTTCCGAGCTAATATCACTTTAATACTTCACTGATTCTCCTCTTTGACTTTCTTTCTTACCAGAGTCTTTTTAGGAATTTCTATCGTTGTCCTTAATTGAAGACATTGAGCATCATATTTTGTACAACACTAAGTAACTTTTTTTGTGAAAGGAAACTAATGAATAATGATATTATAACAATCAAACTTAACAAGGTTCTTCCAACCACTCAACGCCAAACCCCCCTATGAGGCTCCGCATAGCCAAATGGCACTCCCACTCTCTGACTAGACATAGAATAGACCACCGTGAAAAGAGCGAGACTATTCGCTAACCATGTGTGAGAGCTTCGAAGTTTTTAATGGTCACGCAAGTCGTGTCGCTTCTACCCACAAAATTGTCCTGAGCAAAAAAAAACGAACCAACAACCTAACGCTGATGTTCACAATGAAAACAAAAACAATGTAATCAAACGAAACGAAATAAACGTTAAAGGAATAAAATGTCTCATGGCCTCCAACCTTATTTAATCCCACATGTTGTGAGGGGATAGATGTCAGGTCTGTGCCTGGCGAGCCACAAAATTGTAGCTCGCCTCCTCCCCGTTTTTTGCTCTGGCATGCTCCAGCTCCATTTCCTCCCCAGCCTGGTAGCCTCTTGAATACTACACACGTCTGCGCTTCTGTTCGAGATTCCCTCTCTCCTTTTGTGAAGACCCACCCTCTAAAACGTTGGTTCGCTTGTCCTCTTCGCTACTTCCAATGTTAGCCTGGTTAACAATGTTGTTTCCTTTGCCTGCTGGGATGATCCATTTATTCTCCCTCCATTGCATTGCCCCCTTTGTTTCCCTAAGCCATGGACCCAACGGCCTATCTCCAGTTAACTCGTATCCCCTCCTCTTACGAGGACAATGGCTCTCAGCATGTCCTATTATTCCACACAGAAAACAGAAACTTGGCAGTTTCTCATAAAGAAACTTGACACAGAAGTTGACCCCTTCCTCCTTTTGCAGGAATAATTTCCTTTTCAGAGGTTTCCCCAGATCAAATCGGACCCAAATTCTCATAAAAGGTTCTCATTTCTCAGAGAAATTGTGTTCATCAACTTTATAAAAGTCCCCAAGAAATTCCCTATGTGTTCCGCATTATCAATGGTGAAATATCCCACTGGAATGTCATGGACTTGAATCCAGAACTCAACTCTAATCAATGGAACAGACATAGGAAGATCACCTTCTTTGAGCCTACTCATAACAATTAGGTTCCGATAAAAAATCCACAGTCCCTCATCCGCTGCCTATTCGCATCCTCCTTATTATAAAATTGAAACATATATCTTCTAGGGCCGATTCCTGTTATAGTAACACCCTTCTCAGGTTTCCACACAGATGCCATAATATCCCGAAAATTAGTAAAACGTACAGACGTTTCTGATGTAATTGTTCCGACTAGGGTCAGATTGTGCTTGAAGAGCTTTGTGCCATACGCTCCACGATCAGGAATTCATCTTCCTCTTCCATCTTCAAATGTCCATGTGCATGTGCTAACACTTCAACTTCTTCTTGGTTGTATCCGTCCTCCATTTCATTTTGCCAAATAGATTTCATATTTCCGCTTGTATAAGTCACTGTGCCGCTGCCTTTAGAAAAAAAATGCTTTTACATATTTTGTACCTGGTTCCGTAGAGACGAACGGGAGTCTTCTCTCTCGAGCCACCTGTTGCCGATGCGTTGATGTGGAAATTATCGTGGAAAAGGCTGCGTAAAAACCTTACGCGACCAAAACTAACCCTAGCAGCGGTTAGATCCCTTCCGCTTCTAACACTAAGGGGTCGTTTGGATATTAGTGGATTTGGCCAATCCGCCAATTTTTACAAACTGAAATGCTGCAAAAAGCAGCGGTTTGATGTGAAACCTCCAAAAAACAAACGGAGGCTAAGTAACTTAAAACTACTCTAATAACTTATATTAAAAATCAATTAAAATATTCTTAAATGAGTATTATTATGTATTTCTTTCATATATTGACCACTCGTGATAAATTTAATCACGTTATACATAAATTTCATCACATTAAGTTCACATTTAACATCACAAATTTGTTTTGCACAGTGCTACATAAACTTATAGATACTGACATATTTTTATACCTATAGCATTAATAATTAAAAGACACAAAAGATATGGTGAAGTACTACTCATAATAAATAATCATTTACCTTGGTTTGTTTTTCAAATCACCTTTTCCTATTTTCACCTAGGCATGTTTGTCACGCCCCAGACCGCAATCCAAGCGCGTGTACAACCGCCGTATAACTAAGTGACGTCACCCACGGGTCAACCTCACTTAATTACACAAGGCGTTCGAGAAAACAATCCATCCATACTCAGTAGTAAACATACATAACAACATCACATTAAACCAATGAATAGCGGAAATATTCAACGGTAAGTCATGGGCCACAACCGGCCGACAACATGGGCATGCAAGCCCCAAAAATAGTTTGTAGTAAAACAAATATCCATGAGCAAGTGTTCGGTAGTTTGAAAGAAAATAAGGAAGCACGAACCACGTCTCCCTGATTTGATATCACCCGTGAGAAGGTGCAAGTAGCAAGCTCTAGCTTCAACCTGAAAATGGTGGGGCCCCCCGAAGGGGTCAGTACAAGTACCGAGCGAGTAGCAGGCTAAATATAGAATAACTAGCGTTTCAAGTATAAGACCCAAACATAGGGTGATACTTAAATAAATAATCTTTCCCCCAAGTTATGAAATACTTATTAGTATATATATACTTGGAAAATATCCGATCCGTAGATCACCATTTTATTCGGGAAAATAGTAATAGTCAATATTCTTGACTAAAAACCCCAACCCACCCATATACCTATGAGTGTATAGGACTCCTCCTTGTCCCTACTTGTATATCACAATCTATGAGTTTTAGGATCATAATCCTTGGATACTCCACCGGTTTGTGAGTGTTAAGGACTCATAAGTCCTAGGGTCCTCCACCAAGTTTGAGTGTTAAGTACTTTTAAGTACTAGGGTCCTCCACCAAGTTTGAGTGTTAAGGACTTTTAAGTCCTAGGGTCCTCCACCAAGTTTTGAGTGTTAAGTACTTTTAAGTACTAGGGTCCTCCACCAAGTTTTGAGTGTTAAGTACTTTTAAGTACTAGGGTCCTCCACCAAGTTTGAGTGTTAAGGACTTTAAGTCCTAGGGTCCTCCACCAAGTTTTGAGTGTTAAGTACTTTTTAAGTACTAGGGTCCTCCACCAAGTTTGAGTGTTAAGTACTTTTTAAGTACTAGGGTCCTCCACCAAGTTTTCCTATGATCAACCTCCTATCAAC